AGCGGACACACTCAGACACTGTCACCTACAGCACCGCCGTGACATGACTGGCCAGAAAGGACACTGGGCTACTTTTTAAAAGAGAATACTTATTTAGTTATTCAACTAAAAACAATGTAACATAACAATTAAGACTTAAGCCAAAACATAAAATTGATGGGAAGCCACCTGCTCATTGGCGTCCTCCATCCACAGCTTGAGTGTCTTCCTGATGGTGGGGTAGTTGTTCCGGGTTGCTGTCTGCAGTTTCAGGAGGCCAGCTTTCTCCAGGTTATTCAGTGTTAAAATGTGCTGGAAGCCATAGGTCTGTGGGGAAGAGATGAGCTCTGAATGTCCTCTGAATCTTAGCACAGCCACAGAGACTCAAACATTTCCTCATCCTCACATCCAGAAGCTATTTCTGTGGTAGAGAAAGCAGCTATGGCTCTCCTGGTCACAACACTGCAGCCGAAGCCCATCTGTCTATTAAATCGTATGCAGTTCCGCCCATCCCAGGCGGAGGAACAGGGAGGCCTACAAACTTGAAGGTGTAAGGCAACACTGCTATCTACAGGGCCACTGTGCCACTCCATGTCAGTTACTAGTTACCAGTTAAACCACAACACATTAGCTTATTATTACCCGTATCTGTATAAAATATAAAATACTGCAGTATAAATGCTAATCAGTCAGGATAAATAGTTCAGCATAGCACATATTCAGATATGCACAGGGATTTTTGGAAATCAGAAATACATTGAATACAAGGACACACAGTTGAGTAGTCTTTTGCTTGTATTTTGTTCTTATTATTACTACTACTACTAGTGTTTTTAATTTACTTTCCCTTGTGTTGTTTCATCTTGATAGTAATAGTATTTCTGGGGGTTTCAGTGCTGTACAGCACTCTGTGACCTGTTTGTGAAAGGCGCTTTATTGTTGAGTACCTTGTTTTACTGTTATTAATCTTAAAAGCCCAAAGCGATTTTAATGATTGAAAAATGTTCAAAGAGTAAAATAAAAGTTTAAGATCATTATGCATTTATAATGTTCGAAGGCTGGGGAATGTGCAGGTCACAGGCATTTCCAGATTGACGTCGATAGAATCAACATAAATACCCCTAAACATGGACTGAATGGGCTGGCAGGAATATACATGTGCTTTTGAATGCATGTGGCATCATACAGCTGTATCAGAGAGATGTGATGACTTGGGTACACAGATCAGTTAAGCTCTACCTGCAGGATCTCCCTCTTGTAAAAGTCCAGAACTTTCTGCTTGAGGCCATTGTTGCACACAGACTGCATGCAGACCAGACGCAGGATCTTGATCAAGGGGTCCTTGCGAGCGATGCAGTCCTCTATGTAGGTGTTGGCCTGCCGGGGGGGGGGGGGGGTCCTTTATTGCTCGCAGACAGCACACAGCCACCTCTCATTAAGGTGGTGCTGAAGGTGGGGGGGCGGGGGATTTGCCATACCTTGTCAGTGTCCACTCCAGTCATAAACTCCTGCTCCACCGTCAAGTTATCGAAAAAGGCATCGGAAGCTATAAAAGAGAATAAAAACAAAACAAGTGCAAAATTTACGCTGCATCGTTTGTCCTATAAATGTACATTTCAGCTGCTCACCAGATTCTTTTACCCAATGTGATTCGTAGAAACTATGATTCTACATTTAAATAATTTGTGTGGTTCCATATTTATTTACTAAAACAAGTATATCACTTTAGGGTGTAACAGCCTGGAATCTTCTTGCTTTTAAACAAACAGTCCCTTTCTGACATAAGTGTAGCACTTATCAGCTGGGCACACATAGGGCTAGTGAGGGTCCGTATGAAACATCTAGGGTGGTGTAGGCACAGGAGGGGCTCCAATGCTGAAGGCTCTGCCCTTGAGGAGGGGACTGAGCCTAATCCGATCCCATGATACATCTCAGGTAGAAGTGGTAAGTCTGCGGGGGCGCTGTCTCTCACTGGTGATGTCCTTGATGAGCTCCGCGACGGACGTGTGGTTGGCCAGGGAGGTACGGGCCGCCTGCATGTGGGGCAGCTGCGACACAAACTGCTTGATTTCTCCCACCGTCTTGGCATTGTGGCGCTCCTGTTAAGACAAAGCATCTGCCATGGAGACACGTCTGCCTGAGCGGCCGAGGGCTGCAGCCACGCCCACAGGCTCCAGCAGGACACTGGGGAGGATGCTGGGGTAAGAATGACCCCCTGCCGCTGTTCTTGTGGGTTACAAAGACTTCTCTGGCTTTTCCCCAGTACCAGATATGGATATGGGGAAGGAACCACAAATTCTAAACAAGGAGTGAGTTAGTGAGAAAGCGCAAGAGAGTGAGAGAGAAAAAGAGGAGGAAAGGCAGCGCAAAATGAGCAGTCAAAGAAAATACATATACATATTACATTATATACATACACACACACACACACACACACACACACACACACACACATTTCTGTTAACACTGTGTGATCCTCACCCCCTTTATTTGTTCTCATTTTCATTTTTTTGGGGCGGGGATCAGTCTCACTGCCATTTCTTAGGTGGGAAAATGCTTAGCTAAAATTAAAGTCCCAGGTTCAAGGTGGCCGTCCATTCCCTGCCTGAGAATTCCCAGAAGCACCTGCCCACTCAGCCCATGGAGGTGGTGTGGGGGGGGAGCACTTAGCCTGCTAGCCAGCCAAGGACGTTGACCTTGGGAAACAATCAGTGGAACCATGGAGACCGTTCTGCACTACTCAGCTACTCTTAAGAGCCATCTGTACCACATCATTGTGTCGATTATATTACCCTGCAAAATTAACATGAAGGACTGAGTAATGATTAAAATGCATCAAGCTTGAATAAGCCCCCTCCCCTAAAAATCAAGCCAGATCAACCCCAATAATCTAATGAACTCAGTCACACCCTGGAGCACCCACTGAAATTAAGTTGTCAATTTGTCCGAAGGGGTTTTGTTTAACCGCAAAAGACCAACAAACATTCTGGACGAGTCTAGACATGATGCAACAAACAAAGGCTAACATGCAAAAGAGGACCTAGCAGAAAGCAATTTCCTTTTTCATTAACACATCACACTGGAGAAAAGGCTGCTCTGCACACACAATCAGCCCTTTCTGTCCCCTACGGATGTTCCAGAACATTCTCAAGTGCATGGTGAGATGGGATACCATTCTGCTAGTGCTCCTTAAGCTTTACTTTATGCACCATGTGTGAGTTTGTTGATTAACATATTGGAGAGAGACTAATTCCACGTGGTTACTGTATGCAGCTACAGGTTTAACTCTCAGGCAGGTAAATACTTATACAACAATCTGTTAGTTAACAAGGTGAAAAATTCATCAGATCAGAGGCCAAGAGATTGGTCTAAATTAGGGGTGGTTATTCAGAAAGGGCCACTGTGTATGCAGATTTCTGCTGTAACTCCTAATTAGATTACTAATTAGAGGAATGATTGACTGAAGAGTCCTCACACCTGGGATTGAACAGTTGACCTAAAGATTATCCCAAAAAACCTGCATGCACACTGGCCCTCTATTGATAAGATAGGCAACCCCTGCTCTAAATAATAGTTTCCACATTTCTTATTTGGCTTCAGTATTACTAAACAATGGTATCGATCGAGATTAAAGGTCAAATCTTAAGTGATGATTCAGAGGTGAATATAAATAGTAAACTCATAAACGTACTCCTAACACTAAGCACTGCTGCATACACCACTTCTCAAAGCAAAATCTGCCCCAACACTTTTCAAACTAACCAGAGATCATTTCTTCAATGTACAGCTGGATCAATATACAACATGGAATCTGGGGGAAACTGATGGCTCCCAAGGTGACCAGCAGAACATAAAACTTGGCAAAGTGGCCATTTGTATTTACTTGTTAATACAGTGGTACCTCAGTACTCAAACTTATTAGAACTCGAATTTCTTATTTGGCTTCAGTATTACTAAACAATGGTATCGATCGAGATTAAAGGTCAAATCTTAAGTGATGATTCAGAGGTGAATATAAATAGTAACAGATTTCCTAACAATCCAACCATGTGGTGGAATATCTGGTCAAGTTAGACTGCAGTGTACTCCTAAGCCATGGGCAGCCAGGAGAACATGGACCAACCTCAAAGGCAGCTGAGATGATCTTGGCCTTCTTGCTGAGAGCGGCCCCCACGGCGTTGAAGTTTTTGTCACGGATCTCAGCGTAGAGCTCCTCAGCGGAGTTGAGCTGCAGCTTTTTGGGCTCCGTGGGGAGGTCCTTTTCTCCTTCACCTTGCTTCTTCTGGGCAAACTTCTCCGGGGGCAGCTTAACGTAGCCTGTGATGGGGGTCACAGGGTGGATGGAGGGTCATTTGGGCTCACTTCCCTTAACAGCAGATTCCAAGATGCTCCAGGCCAGCCAAAAATTCCCACTTGCTCGCCATTAATAGGGACTTCACCATAAAAGAGGGATTCTGAAAAAAACCTCAACCAGAAGGGAGAAGCAGCAGCTCTGATGCAGCCAGGAGCTCACCGTTGTTGATGCTGTAGATCTCGTCAATCAGCCCCTCGTAGGTGAGCTGCGTTGCCAGCGGCGTGAGCAGGTCCACGTTTCGGTCCAACAGCAGCAGCGTGTCAAACACCGGCAGGATCTGTGTCTGGCAACCTGCAAACTCCCTCTTCATCCTAAGCATCATGTTGGCCACGTGCTGCAGGACAGCATCACTGGTCATCATCCTCCACATCAAGCACTCATAAACGTACTCCTAACACTAAGCACTGCTGCATACACCACTTCTCAAAGCAAAATCTGCCCCAACACTTTTCAAACTAACCAGACATCATTTCTTCAATGTACAGCTGGATCAATATACAACATGGAAGCTGGGGGAAACTAATGGCTCCCAAGGTGACCAGCATAACATAAAACTTGGCAAAGTGGCCATTTGTATTTACTTGTTAATACAGTGGTACCTCAGTACTCAAACTTATTAGAACTCGAATTTCTTAAAAGTCGAACTAACCAGTTTGAAAAAAAAATGACCTAGAACTCGATCTGAATCTCAGAATTCGAACCGTGAACGCCGACCTAAGATAACCTGTACATGCGGGGAAATGAGTCACACAGCACGTCTCTCAGCGAAAACAAAGGGTAACGCTTCAGTCTCAGCCTCACATTCGCTGTGATAGCATCGTTTGTTGGTGATAGTGCTTTTGTTATTGAAAATATCAGGTAATACACTGTACTTTATATCATTTTGGTAGCCAATGCTCACCAAAAGGTTACGCAATAGTTGTACAGATGTTACAACCTAAACGTTTGTGATTTACAAACAAATTAACAAATACAAAGTAATAATAAAAATAAACAATGGACCGCATGGCATACACTCTCAATTTTTTTCTCATTTTTTAAAATGTTTTGCTTTTGTTCCTACATTAAATACAAACCCTTAGTATGACTCAAGGTAGTAGTGCTGTGTCTGGCTTTATGAAAAAGGTGTCGTTTTTTTTATTTTTTTTTTTTAAACTTTACACATTGTTTGGATACATTTATTTTCTTACTTTACAAATTACTGTTACAAATGTGTTTAGATGCGTTTAGTATATGCTCTTCTTGTTTTATCCTGTTCATTTTGTGTTTAAATGCTAAAGAATAACCATATTTAGGTGTAATTTTTTGGGGCCGGGAACCAATTAATTGATTTTCCATTATTTCTTATGGGAAAAATTCGATCAAAACTCGAACTTTTTAGGATTTGAACCCGAGTTCTGAGGTACCACTGTATCTTATACCATGTTATAAACAAATAAGCAAACACTTGATTAACTAAGAAGCCAAAGCCACTGTGCTATAACAGAAAAGAAGGGGGGGGGTCTGCTTATCCATCTCTCCCACGCACCCGTGCACACTCCCCCTTCCCGAAAATCTGTGGGATGGTGCCGTATAGCGCCTGGAGGGTCATCAGTCCCTTGGCCGTGTGGTACAGGCTGGTCTGGTCGTTCTCAAGGTAGCACTCCTGTGTGGGTTTTACAGGAAGACACAATTAGTATAAAGCACTGGGGGGGCTGCATAAGTAGTTGACAAGTAAAAATCAGTGTCTAGTGGATGGAAAAGAATCAGCAGAGTGATTTTACTGTGGGGTCCCTGAGCCCCATAACCCCTAGTTGCTCCAGGGACTGTCGAACCCTATTTTCTCAATTGTATGTCTCAATTGTATATCATGTACAATCATAGAAATGGCCAATACAACGCAACATTAAAAACACATATAGAGACGGACAAGAACATGGACAAATGCAAGATGAACACACAGTAAAACAGATGCAAATTTTTTTTAAATGCTGTACTTTTCATTGTGTTTTTTGGCCTCCCTAGTGTGAACATATCCTAAATGTAAATTATAACTCTGCTTTATTTTCTAAGGCCCAGAGATCAGAGAGTGTTAATCCTGAAGCCTGCAGTATAACATTTGTAAATGTTGTCAGGCATGTTGAATGTGCAGTTTGGGACCGACATGGCTTGGCCAACAAACCCGAAATGCGCTCTCAGACTCCATGGACAGCAGGTCCCCATCATAAGGGATGAGATCCAGGATGTATTCATCCACATTGATCAGCGAGCCCAGCACACCCTTCTCCTTCAGCCGCTGCTCACACAGAAGGCTCCGGCGCGGCACAAACAGGACGTGGAAGTCACGTGGCGTGCGGAGTTTGTCCTCGCTGCCAGGGAAGCATGCGCGCACACACACACACGCACGCAGGCACACACACACACACACAAAAAATGTGTTTAATCATTATGCATGGAAGAACTTACAGGGCAATTGAACAGTCAAGCATTTTCCACAACTGATTATCAAGTACAGGTGAATGGTAAAGCTGAAGCACAGGGCACATTCAAAATCATGCACTAAGAGCAAATCGCATAACATTTTAGTGACTCATTTTTAGAATGTGGGAGAAAACCAGAGTATCCTGAAGAATCCTGTGGAAACAGGAAGAACATGCAAATTCCACACACCCTGATGCGGGGCCAGAATACAAGCCATGGCTATGGAGGAAAGAAACCATACAATGTATCATTTTTTTAAAAACTGTAACCATTTTCTAGAGATGAACCTTGACAAGAGAAAGGAAAACTAACAAAGAAAAACTAGCATGGAGCTACAAAAAGTAGCAACCGCAAGCAGGCCCATCATAGATGCTCAGCACGCAGACCCCCTGTACAGTGTGGGAGGGAATAACACAGATGCTTTAATCTAATCATACCATCAGCTGACACACTCCACAGCACGGACTGATGCCAGTTTGGCCTCTGCTTTTGGGAGACTGACCTAGCAACATTATCTGCAATTATGTCCATTAACTCCAGCTTTGGCCTTACGAAGAAGATGATGTTCTTAACGTCGGCTGCCGGAAGACGTCCCGGCTTGAGAGTGAACATCTTCTCCACCTCATGTTCCTGTGAGAGCGGGATTAATTATCAAAAATGCACAAGGTAACATGCACAGTAAAAGACTTGCTTGCATTTAAAAAATCGTGATTAGAAGTCCATACCTTCAGTAAAGAATACTGAGCAATTAATCCAAAGGGGCCAGTCAGATACTCATCCCATACAATTGCCTGTGGAAAATAAACAAAAAATATTACTGTACCAAAAACTTATTTGTCAGCTTAAAACATGCTCTTAAGTCATACTTATAAAGCAACGGTGACAATAGTTGAAGGCTTTGGTCAGGATATTTTGTGCTTTCCTTGGTTCAAGTTTAGTCTAGACTGAAGCACTCCATGTAATCCTTACGTATTCTTTGTTTTTTCTCTCTGCCAAACAGTCAATTATGAGATGACTAACATTATTCTGGGTTAAAAGCGGGGTAGGACATGTTTGGGTAAATTCGGATGGGGGATAACAGTCAAACTTCCTGTGATACCATTTCATATCGCTGAGTAGTATGACTATTCATATACAATGATACAAGTCTTAATGTATTAACTTCAATAAACAGGCGTGTATTAATTTGTCAGCTACAATATCTGTATATGTAACAGACTTTGGCAAGCTCTGCGTATAACAAGGGATGCAAATATAAATAATAACTAATTAAATTTGTTTGGAATGCAGTGTAGGTTATGATAACCTGATACCATCGACCCGACAAATGTATTTAATATGTGATGGACAACGTTAAATGATGACAGAAAAACGGACGGTTTACCAAGGGTCTATATAAATATTTACAACCGGAGTGGTGAATAACCTTTACAGACCAAATCACACAAACAATACCTTGCTACCAGCGCATTTGTCCAAAAATTCTCGCAGCTCCTTCCGTGCGGCCTCTCTCAAAATATTAAGATTCACTCTTCCGTAAGACAGGTGCGCCGCCATCTTCCTGCCTTCCGAAACAAGAATCATGTGACAAACGGGTGGATCACGTGACCTATGGTCGTGTTTTTCGAAGTCATGTGTTCTCGTCGAATATTGCGCAAGGCGTCTTTTCATTAATGTTCACACTATATCCACATTATTTGATTAACATTTACCACAGTTCTTTTATTAAATATATATTTTACTTTGAGTGTAATCATAAATTATGTTATGCATATTACATTTGTACATCTTTTTATTTAATGTGTTCTGTTAACATTCTGTAGCTCATATATTCAGACTCTTCATTGCGTGAATTTCGCCTCGTTTTATGTGGCATTTGTACGATAAGTCCTCATTTGGTGATTATGCAAAATAACTACATAATTTACTATTCAACGGTATGTTTAAATTTGTTACTTCGTATTTAACGTAAATTAACTGTATTCTATATATGCAGCAATATTAAGCGGGACAAATCGAGCGCTCCCGTTACAAGCCGACGACGTGTCTCGGTGTGGTCCCGTTAGGTCGCACTGCGCATGTCAAACGCAGCTATTTTGCTTCGTCGCATGTCTGGTGACGTTGTATTCTTGACTAGAGAACTTGCAGATGCAGCTGAGGCCTTTGTACTTAAGTTTTTAATAATCTGAAGTCCGTCGGTATATATACGTAACAGTTTGCCCTGAGCCTGGTGCTGACTGAATTAGAGCCTTATGCTTCTTTGGTGTTGGACGGACGGCAGGAGCGAAACGTAGCCGAATGAACGCTAGCTAGCAAGCTTGCTAACTTGCTTGCTACCGAGAAGCATACAAGTACCGAAGAAAAGGAAGCACGCAAAAGGCGCTGACAAGAGAGACACAAAAGAAAATAGAATGACTTCCCGGAGGTAAGATCGATTGGTGTCAATGTGTAGTGCCTGGCAGCCTCCAGACTGCTACACCCGCGGCGTTGTTTAGGTCACCGGTGTGCCCTCAGCACCGCTGCGCTCTTTCGGTGATAAAAATAGTCAGGCAGCCAATCACAAAGCGCTCCGGTGAGTCAGCGGACTGATCATGGGGAAAGTATAGTCTGCGAAACCTTTAGAAGCGCAGGATAGATACATGTATGCGGTATCTGGTTATGAGAAGATTGTCTGCCTTAATTTACGTAACTTGTGAAGTTTAATAATATCCTCATTACAAGTACGCATTTCAGTGGTACAACAGCAGTTCCCCTTTTTGTATTTGAACTGGCTACTATCCAACTTCCTTAACCAGTGTTTAACTTAACTTTACAGGCATTTGATTTGACAACTTACATAGATGACTATCTTTTTTATTGTGTAACTTTTGTGTAATATTTTTTCTCAAACAACATTACTTAGAATCTAATACTTTAGACCAGTAAATAGCATTTGTGGGTTTTAAAACAAACGGATCCTTGTTTGTCTGTAAGTATGTGAGGTGTTTTGCGCTGATGTGAGGCCGCAGATGTTCATGTATGTGTGAATTTTGGCATTTTTGATGCCTTTTGACTTGCGTTATAGGTGGTTCCACCCAAACATCACTGGTGTGGAAGCGGAAAACCTCCTTCTGACCCGTGGGGTGGACGGTAGCTTCCTCGCCAGGCCAAGCAAGAGCAACCCAGGGGATTTCACCTTATCTGTCAGGTGTGTGGCCAGTCCATGTGGACCGTCTGAGATCAAACAGTCATATCAAAGGCATTCCCAGTCCTTAAAGGCTGCCACCCAAAATGAGACATATATACAGTGCTCACAGAAAGTCTTGGGATGCTTGCTTAATTCTGTTGCAGATGTATAGGTTTCATAACAAAAGTCCATTGACAAAAATGTTTAACATATCTGCATGTATCTTCTGCATGTATCTTTTTGACTGACTCATTCAGTTATGTTTTTGCCATTTTGATATTAATTGCAGTTGTAGTCATTGGCTGCCAAAGGGATACTAAAGACAAATGTTGGATGTTTTATGTTATTGCAAAGCTGTTACTAATTAAAAAGCTCCCAGTGATGCATGTCAAGGAACTTTTTAACTCAGAACGGCTCTTTTACAACAACAAACAAATTTATTTTTGTATAGCGCATTATCACAACATTACATCGTCTCAAAGCGCTTTACAGCAACCCCACCCAAAGCCCCCAGTGAGTAAGCCATACTGTAGGTGACAGTGGCAAGGAAAAACTCCCGAGAAGGAAGAAACCTTGGGAGGGACCAGACTAAAAGGGGGAGCCCATCCTCCAGGGGCCGGCAGGGAGAGTCAAATACAGTAAAATTTGAGACACAAACGGGGAGCAGGGGGGAGATGGCAAGCCGGTGCCAACGCTCCCTCCAATCGCCAGGCAACCAGAAAGCAGGCAGCGGGTCATACAAGGAAGATGACACAGGCAGAACGGCGAGCTGGATGCACGGACGTCATTGGTAGTGGCGACGTTACATGTTGCAGGGTGTGCTGGACATCTTGATAGATTGAGGGCTCCAGGCAGCACCCCCCAGGAGGAGTAGGGGAAATAAAATATGCAATTAGTCAAAGTAGGGGAGACTATAGGCAGTGCTAACAGTTAGGTGAGTGCAATATAAAGTGCAATGCTCCGGCAGATATGGCTATGGCAGCATAAGTAGGAGGGAGAGGCAGGTGGGAATGCAGGCATGGGGAGTCCCTGAAAAGTCAGCACTCCAATCCCACAAGCAATTGTGAAGCTAGAGTGACAGCACTGTCAGTTCAGTTTATCCAAAGCCAATGGCACCGATCCCCACCCAGCTCTACACCTCACACTATAGGTCTAACTGGGAGTGAGAAGCTAGCTAGAGCTAGAACTAGTGTCCCTATAAGCTAAACTAAATAGGTGTGTTTTTAGTCTAGATTTGAATATTGAGAGTGAGCCTGAAACCCGCACATCCGGTGGAAGACCATTCCACAGCTGAGGAGCTCTATAGGAGAAAGCTCTGCAGCCTGCCGTAGCTCTTTCTACCCTAGGTACTAACAGATATCCCGCACCTTGAGAACGAAGCAAGCGCGGGGGGTTGTATGAGGTCAGCAGATCACTAAGGTATTCTGGTGCAAGGCCATTCAGTGCTTTATAGGTTAACAGCAGTATTTTATAGTCAATCCGAGACTTAACTGGTAACCAGTGAAGGGAGGATAAGACTGGTGTAATGTGATCAATTTTTTTTTAGAACTATAATTTTTGGGTTTAAATTTATTACAACTTGAAATGATATTTTACTTTAAACTATTGGTTGTTTCTAATGTGATTGATATTTTTTGTAAACAAATGAATAAATTAATGATATATGTTATATATAATCAATCAATTTGAAAATTTTACTGAATTAAGCAAGCATCCCAAGACTTTCTGTGAGTACTGTATATTTCAGAAAGTTCAATGTGTTGTACATTGTATAACAGAAAACTGGTTTTATTTTCTGAAAAGTTTCATTGTGATGTTAGATCTTTTTGGTTTCTGTATTAGAATATGGGGTGATAAAGACCATTACTGAGTTAAACTGATAAAAATGGACTTATCCTGGACTTAAGAAGGTTTAAGAAGGAATACCATTCAGAGGGGGAAATTAAAAACTTTTAAACACAGTTCGGATCAATTCTGATTTAATTTGGTTATAAAAAGTTCTTTAGTGTAACATTGTTCACCTTGTCTCTTTCATGCTAAATTGCAGACTCGCCAACAGTGATAAAAATCTTTTTTTTTTTTCTTTTCTTACTGGTGAGTTATTGATGTGTCCTACTTGCATCTTGAGAATGAATCCCATCAGTGTTCTGCTGCTTTTTGTTTCAGCATTAAAATTTGATCTGGAGGCCTATCTGAACCAGGGCTGCATGATATCACATCGCCATGTAATCCCAATTATACGGCACATGTGTAATAATCACCAGGGCTTTAGATAACGGGCAAAGCATCTCCCCGGACGCCGTCTTTTCGGTACTATATGTACGTTTGCTTAAGCCAACAATTTGGTGGCCTAAATTATTAATGAGATGCATATTGATGCCCAAAAGTTTGTAATCTGTATAAAGTTGCCATATCCTTATGTTTATTAAATTGGGTTAGCAGAGCACGCCACATGCTATTGTTTTGGTATACTATGGTTTGGTATACTATGGTTTGGTATACTATGGTTTGGTATACTATGGTTTGGTATACTTTTGGTATAGTGCTATATGAAGTGGCAGTGAAGAACGGAACAGCTCAGCAGCTACATCGTCTTTTGAAAGAGGAGATATTGTGGATAAACAAGGTAAAAAGACGTCGGCGGTGTGACGGTATAAAGTCTGACACGTTTATTAAACATAAGGATATGCTGGATTTATACAGATTACTAACTTTTTGGCATCACAATACACTTCTCATGAATATTTTGGGCACATTACTAAACTGCTTATCAAACTGTCGGCGTAAATTAATGTCCATATAGTACCGAAAAGCTGGTGTCCGTAGAAATAATTCCTCCATCATCTGAAACCCTGGTGATTATTGCGCATGCAGAGTATAATCGCAATGTCATATCATGCAGCCCTAATCTGAACCAATCAGAAGATTTCTTTTAAAACTAGTCTAGATATTTATCAAATAGTGAATCATGATTACAATGTTATGATTTCTTATTTGATATATTTAAGTCTTAGGGTTTTCTGTAGTTCATACGTTCCTTAAATATGTTATAATCACTGTGGTAAATTTACACCTTTCTTAGTGTCAGATAAGTGAATTTATATGTTTGGTGATTGAAGGGTGTTCTGACCACACTAGGTCATTTGAATCTGTAATGGATGATGGTGGTGGTGATGATGTGATGATGATGATGTTGATTAAGGCTGCACGAAATCACATTGAGATCCTCAAGGCTGTAGATGATGGGTGTAACATAAAGGTACACCGAATTTATATAGATTGCTACCTCTTGAACGTCACAATAATACACCTCTCACTCGTATTTTCGGCATACTTTTAATCTGCTTGCCACATTGCAGGCTCTAGAAGAGTCTGTATAGGACAGAAAACCCGGCGTCCGGATAAGTGTTTACGCCTGTCATCTAAAACTCTGATGATCATTGAGGAGCCGCCATATAATCAGAATGTGATGTCATGCAGCCCTAATTGATGATGATGATGATGATGATGATACTCGGTACCACTCCAGTTGCTAACACTTGCCTTCATCTTTGGGCACTCTTAGAAAGTATCGGTCTTGGAGTCCGAGAAAACCCATAGACAGATTTCTTCCCTCTAGAATAACAGAAATTCAGTAACCCTTTGTGCACATAAACAACCCTTCCTCTCAACAACCAGACGGAATGGAGCTGTCACCCATATCAAGATCCAGAACACTGGGGACTACTACGACCTCTACGGGGGGGAGAAGTTTGCCACGTTGGCAGAGCTCGTGCAGTACTACATGGAGCACCATGGCCAACTGAAGGAGAAGAACGGTGATGTCATTGAACTGAAGTACCCACTCAACTGCGCCGACCCCACATCTGAGAGGTGAACTACTTGACTTGCATGTCAGTCATTCAGATGGAATGTTTTTCTTTATTTGGCTCAACACAATTTATTTTTTGAGGAATTCTAGAGCTATGTGGGGTATTTTTTAGATTAGAATTAACAGAGACCCAACGATGTGTCACACCCCTCAGGTGGTTCCATGGGCACTTGTCAGGGCGTGAGGCAGAGAAGCTGCTGACTGAGAAGGGAAAGAATGGCAGCTTCCTGGTGCGGGAGAGCCAGAGCCACCCGGGTGACTTTGTCCTCTCCGTACGCACCGGCGACGACAAGACAGACTGCAGCGACGGCAAGCCCAAGGTCACCCATGTCATGATTCGCTGCCAGGTACTGAAGCCCCGCCCCCCAACTTCATCCAGTGTATTGCCTTTATTAAAAACCTTCTTCATTAAAAAATAACCATAAAACCACAAGTGCAGTTTGAGCGGAATTGGCGCATGTTAGCCTGGATAATAATAGTACTCCGTTTACCCCTCCCTCATCGTCCGTAGCTGGTGGGTTATATTCACAGTTTCTTAGATGCCACAGTGGGAATGAGATGGGTGTTGTCCAGTAAGAAATAAATATTCACTGCCAAAAACATATATAAAACATGCAGCTGTTAAAAATTCCATGACTTTTCCAAGACCTTCTGATATTTCGTGATCTCTTAATTCCGTGATGAACTGATGATTCCATGAGTTCATCATGGAATTAAGAGATCACAAAATATCACAATATAAATAATGGTTTTGGAAATGTCATGGGATTTTTGACAACTGCATTGTTTTCCCAATCAACAGTTGCAGCATAACCCCATCTCTCTGTAATAGCATCTTGATTTATACTTTCCGCATCAGCACATGTCATGAGTATGGAAGGCTGTTGGGGCAGAAAATGACAAGAAGACATTTTTTCCTCTAGATGTGGTACTTTTCCTCTCTATAATCTCCACACGGCACTTTCCTAAGAAGCACTGGTATTAAAAGATGCGTTTAAAAACTGGTGGTGACATGCATTTTTATACCATATCAGCACTGTACAAATGTACGTGTTAATAAAGGACTTTCATTACTATGACATACTTTCAAGGGCAGGCTGTAATGCATTATACTTATCTCTGTATCGTGTCTTTTGTGTTGCATTCTTATTATATGATAGCATTTCGGATTTTAATCATAACCACGATACTCAACATTTGTAAAAATTTCAACGATAAGCTTCGTTGTTTTGTCTGATATGCTGAATAATATGAAGTAAAAGGTAAAAATCTTGTTTAAATTTATCGTTAAGTATTTATGCATTTTATTATAACTACCCTGGCATGACATAAGCACGATATATGCAGTATAAATTTGTCACAAAAGAATTAAATAAAATGTTGTATTGAAGTGTACCCAACATATTGTAAAATGTGTAAAGTTAAAATATTCGATGCTATAAGAAAAAATGGTTGTGTGTATATGTGTGTGTTGTCAATGTCATACATTTAGTTTGGTCTTGTGGACTAGGCTGAAAGATATTTTTATATATAATAAATATTGTTAATTTGAGTGCTAGTGTTTGGAGTAGGCAATATGAAGTCCAAATATCAGACGGTACAAAAGACAGATGTGAGCTTGCGTGTGTATGCAGTTGTGTGTGGTGTTTTGGTGTTTTGAGACGCACGGTGCATGTCGCATATAAACACTTTATGTGCTACCTGTGAAAAAGATTGCTCTGCTAGGAGTACAAGCTAGCAGAGAAATTTAGATACTCAAAATTGAACATGCATTCTGTATCAGACTGTGTGAAAATAAAGATGTATGTGTATGTGGGTGTGGGTGTGTGTGTGTGTGTGTGTGTGTGTGTGTGTGTGTGTGTGTGTGTGTGT